TCTTCATTAAGGGAACTTGTGCTCTTCATCTACAAAACTTTGAGTTCGAAAATCAGCATCTTCCCAATCCTTAAAACACATAAGTGCCTCGCATATTTGAGGAGTAAGCCTCGTCCTCTTTTCGTCCAGCACACGACCACCTGCACTAAAAGCAGACTCCGAAGCTACTGTGGACACCGGAGTTGCTAGTACATCACGTGCCATAATGGAAAGCACAGGAAAGTTCTTTTCATGTGCTTTCCACCAATCCAAAATATTGAAATTATTTCTTTCTTCCTCAGTCATAAATTCAACAAATGCAGTATCCAAATACTTAAAAACTTCAGTACGAGAACTCATTACACTCTTTTGTTTTCCTTTGCTAGCAAGCATACCAAAAACAGCTGCACTACTAGATGAAGATGAACCAAATAAATGAACAGTTGGAGCAGTTTGTGTAGCTATTGTACCATCACTATATTTCTTCTCATACAGTCTGCTATTGTAGCTATTGAAGTTCAACCTCACAAAGTCTGCAATGCCCTCTATTAACCCACTAGGAGCTCCGCCGTCATCTCATGGAAAATTACCCCGTTGAACTCATATACGAGATTTCCCATGCCTAGCTGTATGCTCTGGATAGAAGGTGTCAGATATCGATGTTAATGAAAATATATTAGGTCCTAATAATGACGGTTTATATATTAAGGTTTAGGAGAATAGTAAGAATGTTAAATATATATATCGATATTAGTGGAAATATATATATGATCTTAAAACATATATAAATACTGAAGAAAATAACGACATATTATCGAGAGAAATTATATGAAATTTAGTATATATAGAGTATACCAGGAGGTCTTAAGCAATAATCATTCATTTACGTCCATTCCACCATGCCATCTTATGATCTGAACTGCTCATTTGAAAATTGACACTTAGGTGACGAGGGGTAAATTAAATGACACTAAAACAAAAACACAACAAACTTCACACACTTTAGACCTTGACCAATACTCTTATGACTAGTCAACTGTCAGACATGAATAATCACATCTAAGAACATACACATAGCATATCAATATGTACTTGGAAGCCTAGAGAATTACTAGTGACAACCTAGGCACTCAGAAGGACCCGTCAATCTAGGCATCCCTTGTGCTAGCAACAATTATGGTGAAAGTGTGTGAAAGCATCATAATCAAGTAAACATCAGACATCAGAAAAAGATGACTAGTCAACTGCAAGAACACGAACCCAGAAATACATGTGATGACTAGTCAACTGTCAAGAACACAAACTCAGAAATACATGTGATGACTAGTCAACTGTCAAGAATACAAACCCAGAAAATTCATATATGCAAACTAGAAATTTGTTCACCCAGAAACCCACCATTGGGAAAAATTGGGGGTCATCAACCGACCAGGCAATCCACTAAGTAGAAAAAGATTCTTACAAAGGAACACAAGCAAGCTCAAGAAAAACCTAGATCTATTTAGGAAGATGAACTATCCCTCCTTTGTGCAATCTTCTTCTCCAACTTAGCAAAGCTTCAAGCTCAGTTCTTCATGGCAATGGCAGCTCCTTCTCTAGCTCTTTCATCCCATTACACTAGCTTGTAAGCTCTAACTCAAACTGAAACCAAAATTTGGATTCAAAGGAGAATGACCAATTTCTTCAAGAAACCATACTCTTGAAGAAATCAGTCTTGAATTTGACCTAGGTATAAATGAGAGAGCATTTTGATCCATCACCTAAATTATTCATTCAAATGATCCACTAATTAATCTGCACATTGGTTCTACCGTTACATTTTCTGTTAAATTTAGTCATGTGAGTAGCACATGCTGCATTTGTGGGGGTAAATAAGACTTTTGACAACTAAAAAAATAAAAATATATGATTAAAAATTAATACAAATTTTTCTTTATTTTTTAAATTTATTAAAAACTATAAAAGAATAAATAAAAAACAAGGCTTAATTGTTGCAATGGTCCCTGAACTATACCCCATAGTTACATTTTGGTCACTCAACTCCAAAAATAGTTTTAGAGGTCCCCCCAATTAGGTATTGTGTTGCATCGTTCGTCTCTCTGTCAACTCGGTTAAATTTTTTGTAAAAAATGAGGATAAATTCATAAATTCATCCTAAATATTTTACAAAAGAAACAAGGGCGGAATTAGGAATTTATCAGCGGGTGGGCTAGCTAAAGTTATTAGTTTAAAATTCAATGATATTTTTTTTACTTACGATTTCTATAGGCTTTATATAAATAAAAGTATACATTAGTATAAACCACGCTAGTTATAAACACAAGAAAAAAAATGGAATTAGAGCCATATTATTCACGAAAGGAATTTCATTTAGAAAAACGGTTCTTTTTTGGAGACAAATCAATGAAAAAAAATAAAATTGGACAGTTAGAGCTAACGACTTTACCCTTATTGTGGGTTATTGGTGTTGGGACAGTCTTTGACACCATATACAAACATGAAATTCCTTTGACTATGCATATTGGTGTTGCCAATGTATGAAATTGTGTATTTTTATTTATTTTTTTGGTTAAGATACTGGCTTATATTTGATGGCAATATTGACAGAATGTAATGGGTAGTACCAATGCGCCGATTAATAAAGAGTTGGTGGACCATTTAAACAAATAATTTAATTGAGGGACCAAAATGTAACTCGGGTATAAGTTTGAGAACCATTTGAGTAAATAACCCTTATTATTGTGGGAAATTTTTACTTTACTACGGTAAAGTTTACCGACTTTTAAAGTTCGATATATCAAATTTTTTTCGTCTTAGTCGAATACACAAAGTTGATTTTCTTATCAATTTCATAGATACCGTCAGTTTGTCCATTAACAAATGTGTTAGCTGATGACATGAAAATAAATATGCCAAGTAGACCCACTCATTTGTCCACATATATTATTAAATAAATACATTAATTATAAAAAAGTTTAAAATTTAAAATATATATAACAATACATCTCTCATCCTCTTCCCCAAACCCTAGCACCCATCTCCTCACCGCTACTCACCCCCTCTACCCTCTCATAACCGCCCATCTCTCTCTCTCTCTCTCTCTCTCTCTCTCTCTCTCTCATGTGCAACCCCTTCCCCCATCACTACACTCCAGCTGCACTGTCGCCCCTCCCAACCATCACCAACCCACCCCACTGTCGAACCTGAGAAGAGTGAGAGTACTTTGGAGATTTGGGTCCTGGACGGTCTTGGACTAACATTGAAGAAAATTCAAAACCCAAATTCCCAAAATTTTATGTCTCGGTCTGAATTGCCTTGACTCAGAGTTAGAGCTGATTGTGAGTGATTAGAAGAGCTTCACTATTGAGCTCTTTCAACAAACGAACATTCGCAGTTGGTTCTTCTCGATTTGGCAGACTGTTGATTTGTGCTACTTGACAGTATGATTTGAAGGCCATAATTGTCAATGGAGGAAGAGAGAAGAGGAAGGTGCTGTAGCAACCCACTGTCTAAGAGAGACAAGGGAAGAGAGAAGGAGGAAGGTGTTGGCAACCATGGGGCTCGGCCTGGGATGCAGAGAATTTGGGGCGGGGGGTGTTGACGCGAGACAGCGCGAGAGATGGATTATTATTATTTTTTAATTTTAAGTTTTTATAAAAATTAATGTATTTATTTAATAATTTTGTCTTATTTATTTATTTAGTAATATATGTGGACCACGTGGCACCATATGAGTGGGTCTATGTGGCATATTTATTACCATGTCAGCAGTTAACAAACTTATTAACGAGAAGACAGTTTGTGCACGCGACTGAGACGGAAAAAATTTGATGTATCGAATTCTAAAAGTTGGTAAACGTAAAGTGAAAATTACCCTATTATTATTACAAGAAAGGAACTTCCAGAAGAAGCCTACATAATCTTATTCCTCATTGGACATGTACAAATGAGAGGCACTCTACTTTATTCTATACAAGTAGCCCAAATTGAGTAAACCACATACGTCATTAACCTTTGAACCAATAATAAGAATCACCAAAACTTAATTATAGTCTTCCATTACATAAGTGCAATCTAAAGTCTTAAAGTCATTACAGGGTTCGGTGGAGCTATAGACTTAAATCCTCAATCAAAACATGTAAGAATGGAGGAGAAACTTCTGCGAAATAGGCAAGTAGCCGTGTTGCAGTCAAATAGCGACTTTGGCTTAACCCATCAGCATGGGCGTTGCCTTTTCCTATAGGCAAGTTGAGCTTCAAATGAATGGTCAACTAGTTATTTGTGTAGCGCCTTGACAATTGGGCAAACCCCATTCAAATTTGTAATAATTTGAGGCGGCTTTGGTAATCTGATAGTCCTTTCAATTATTATATAACTCATCCCTGTAAGTATGAGATGCAATCTCCTTTTGTCTCACACACCCAACTCGTTAATGTTCCAAAATCTTTGTTCTTAAAATGGCAAGCACTTCAGTGTTGTTGGTTTCTCTTTCCCTCATCTTGATCAATATAATCACCTTACCTCTCCTATCAACCGCCATCTCCTCCTGCAACGGCGCTTGCAAAACCCTCAACGATTGCGCGGGCCAGCTCATTTGCATCAACGGCAAGTGCAATGACGACCCTGATATTGGGTCTAACGAATGCGGGGGAGGGGGAGGCTCATCATCGCCACCTCCTACCACGAATAATTGTCAACCATCGGGAACTCTAGTTTGCCAGGGAAAATCATACCCTAAATACACATGCTCCCCGCCCGTGACATCATCCACTAAAGCCAGCCTCACCCTCAACGATTTCAGCGAAGGCGGGGACGGTGGTGGCCCGTCATATTGTGACGAAAAATACCATGCAAATAGTGAGAGGGTTGTGGCACTTTCTACTGGGTGGTTTGATAATAAGTCGAGGTGCGGGAAGATGATAAGCATTAAGGCAAGCAATGGGAAGAGTGTGACGGCCAAAGTGGTGGATGAATGCGATTCACGTGCTGGATGTGATGCAGAGCATGCAGGTCAGCCGCCGTGTAGGAACAATATTGTTGATGGGTCTGCGGCTGTATGGGATGCTTTGGGACTGAACCAAGATTTGGGCGTTGTTCCTGTTACTTGGTCAATGGCCTAGCTAGCTACATATTAACCTAAATTAATGAATAAATTAAGGACAATAAGTCTATACATATGATAATGATACGTTTCCACCAAGAAACAACATTCGGATTGGATCATGAGTTTGTAATTTATGGATTACATTTTCTATCCTGGTTGTATTAACTTTTGGAGCTGTCATATATATGAATTATATTTATGGCAATATGCTATTTGAACACATTTGACTGACTACCTTAGCTGTGGTAACTTACTATATTGGTTTAACAATAAGCTATTTGTGCCACGTTTATTAATTATATTGCTGACCAGTTCTTTAATAAAGGTAGAAATTACTTTTGCTCACCACTTTAACCCAAGGCATATGCTCACGACCTTTCTTAATATTTGACACCTGTACTGTACATAGGCATATTTATGCAATCTCCTTTGTCTCAATCCCCCACTCATCCGTCGATAATATTGGCGAGTACTTTTGTGTTATCTTTCCTTCAGTTTCATTAATATATTACCTCTCCATCTCCGCCGGCCACTGGGCTGGAATATATGTTTTTTTAATGGCTCTTGAATATATGCCCGCAAAGTTGGTGGACATGCCACTAGAGGAGACTTCAAGTCTCGTTGCTTCTTTTGACTAAACATTTCCTTTAATTGATCATAGTCGCTTTTCATCATTAGCATTCCTCTTTTCTTTATTACATACCAACAGTTTGTTGGGAGTAGACTAGGAATATTAATCCCTAAATGTGAGAAACAAATTGAGCCGATGGGGAGCGACTGGGTTTAATTAGTGATCTTAAATTCGAATCTTCATGGCATCTTAATAGTGTGTGTATGAGAAACTCTTTCCTCCTTATAGTTTAGATTGTCGCTTGTACTAAAAAAAACAAAATAAAGTATGCATGATGACATTATAGTAGGCTAACATACATACGTATCTACGAGAAGTCTACAAAAATTTCTCCTTAAACGCGAAAAACTAAACAAAATTAATGTTTAATGATATTCTCCTAATCGAATAAAATTTTCAGTATAATCGTAACAACACAACAAAACATGCCCGAGGTAAAGTAATAACACCACGGTATTAAAGTTATAAACAAAAATTTCTCCTTGTGGGGAGTCTAGGAAAGTTCCTCCTCAAAGGCCAAAAGGAAACAATATGGAAGTCACCTTTTTCTTTTTCTTTTTTTTTTGATGAAAAATAGAAGTTGCATTTTGATGAGAGTCTCAAATTACATCTTTTTAATATTATTTTGGGGACTTTATGATATAATTTTGGCTTAATAAACATAATTTCACTTGTTGTTACATTTTATTCTCACCAATTGGATTTATGAATTTTCTATATTAATTTGGTGAACTTATTAGGTAAATTTATCTATTGTAGGAAGTTGGAAAGCCAAAAGATGAACATACATTTGTCCAAGTTCAAGCTAGATGTAAAGAGAATTGTTGGTGGATTTTATTGAAGAATTGATTGTGGGATTATTGTGATTATAAAGAAGGAAAAGAGAAGACAAAACCGTTGAAGCTAAAGAGCCTATTTCATGTCATTCATAGCCATTTAACGCCCACTACCTCACTGTTATTTCTTTTCCACCAACTCTCCACCATCATCACATGTTTAATCCAATGAATCTCTCACTTAAACCCTTCATTACCTACCACGAATGTATTAACTTCCCACTCACCTCATTAACTACTATAAATCACCCATCAACTTACGGCAAGGGCATCTCGACGACAGATTTCTTTATCCATTTCATTCAAAAATTTAGTTATGTTTTCCTTTGTAATGAGTTGCTAGAACTCTAGCTAAGGCTAAAGGGAATGTCCTTTGAGTAAGTTTGTGAATTGTTATTTTATCCAATATACGGTATGAATTGCTAAATTCTTTTATTTTTGGTTGTTCAATATTTTCATATCCTTTTATTTTAATTAGTGTTAAGTGGTACTATCTTTTCATGAGTTCAATTATATTTTTCTCATTGGTAAGAACTGACTCAGCATGCTTTTAAATTAAAAGATTAGATATTAAGCAACTCCATTTTCTGAACAATCATTAATAAAAGATAACATTGAAAAAGTAAATTGGTTTTAATTTCATTATCTTCCGGTTAAAGTTTCTCAATGATAATTTTAATCGAGTTTAATTTGGATTAAAGAGCGTGAAACATATTTTGCTTAAAGAATTGAACCTTGATGCCTTAGCATTTCCATTATTGATATTTCATTTTTAAACTTAATCTCTACAACAATCAAATCAAATTACTTGTCCATTTTGCTTGTCACTTTTATTTTAGTACTTTTAATTATTTCTTTGTGTGCAGACATTTGCCTACCTACTCCTTGGGGATACGATACTTGGACTTCCAAGATTATTACTACATGTGACTACTTGCACTTGGGTAGACGCAACACCTTTAGTACACTATAAAAGTGCATGCTAATCTCCTTCTCCAACCACTCTCACTACGACTAGTTACTAATACTATTGCGAAAAATCCTTTTCAAATGGCAAGTTTGATGTCAATATGGTTTTCTCTTTACCTCATCGTCTTCAATCTTATCTCCCTCCCTCTCTCGTCAACCACCATCTCCTCCTGCAATGGTCCATGCAAAACCCTCAATGACTGTACCGGTCAGCTTATATGCATCAAGGGCAAGTGCAACGACGATCCTAATGTTGGGACTGTGAGAATGTGAAGGTAAAAGTCCCACATTGGAAAGTTGAGAAATCTAGTATGGACTTATAAGGAGTTGGGCTACTCCCCCATTGCCAATTGGTTTTGGGGTGGAACCTCAACTTCTTTAATGGGAAGAATGTGATAACGAGAGTGGTGGACGAATGTGATTCACGTAATGGATGTGATGTAGAGCATGCAGGGCAACTGCCATGTAGGAACAATATATTGTTGGTGGCTTTGCGGCTGTGTGGCTTTGCAACTAAACCAAGATTTGGGAGTTGTAGACGTTACTTGGTCCATGGCCTAATTAGGGCTAGGATTGATGATAGTACGTACTTAAGCTAAATAAAGAAATGAAGACAATATGATGTACTGTTTCGATCATGAATTTGTAACTTCTGAGATTTACATTTCCCTCATTCATGCAGGGTGTTTTTAGTTTAGCTTCTGTGAGTACTAACTTGTATATGCTGCTAAATTAGTTTACTACATAGTGTGAGAAAGAAAAACTTGATGCCTATTTAGTATGACAAAAGGAACCTTATAACAAAAACATTTCACTCTCTAATTCAAAAGCTACGTTAACTATGACATTTTTAATATTAAATGGCACCCCTTAACCCTCCTTTTTGGAAATTAATATGTCATGGTTTAGTACATAGAGATGGTAAAGTTCCGACAGATTTTTTATACAATATTCTAAATTTTATTCTTACTTAATAAATTATTGTAAGTCTTTAACTTTATTTTATTAATTAAGAGGTTTTTTTTTTAATAGAAACGATAGTCTAAATTACTTTAATAGGGAGGAGATTCAAACTTCGTTGCAAAGTGACGGACTCACTCCCTTAACCAATTGACCTAACTCACATGTGCATTAACTAAGGTTAACTATGTAGGTATAGATATTGAATATTGCATGATGCGAAAAATAGGTAAGGAGTAACTTTTTTTTTTTTTGGGTTAAAAAAATGCCTTTAGTAGAACACCTTAAGAGTATACAAAGAGGATGAAAACATCTGAAACCCAACATGAAAGCCAAGAACAAGAGCGTAATCTTAAAAAGATTTGCGGCCTGAAACAATCACGAGGAAACAAAAAGAGAAAAAAGAAGATTACTGCCCAAAACAATACAACAGTGGAATCCAATGATGGAGCAATAGTTATCTCGTTAAAACCTTGCCTTTAAAAACCCACAAATGGAGGAAAATCCAGTTAAGGAAAAAGAGTACCACTATAAAGCTTGCTCATCAACAACAACCAACAAGCAAAACTTGGGCCAGTGGACACAAAAATAAAAAGTGCACAAATCGACCCAACAAAGCCTAGTCCATGAATGAGTCGCATGATCAACTGCAGTGATTGAAGAACACCAACTACTCAGGAACTACTTCACAGCAAAAACATATTGTAACTGCTAAACTGGCCATTATGGTTCTCCAAGATTGGCGAACAAATGAAAGATCCTCCCAACCAACACCACAAAACAAAATAATATTTTGTTAGGATGTTAAACAAGATGGAAACTATTGGCCAAAACGAAACCTCAATAAAAATAAAAAGGAAATGAGACATGCAGAAATTAAAAGTCTTGCACTTGAACAGAGTGAAGAGCAAATAATATATGAAAATTAACACTACGTAGCAAAAATGAAAAAAACACTGTGAGCTAGTATATGTGTTACTTGATTAATTAAGCAAGGTATAAATGTGATGTGATGCTAAAAAAAAAGAAAAAGAAGCAAATATATATAAAGACTGGAAGAGAGCGGGGGCGGCTATTATCAATTGAGTTGAGTGGAAAAATATGGAGATGGAGGAGATAGAGGAGGTTGACAGAAAAGGAAAGGCACTGACTCGCGCGAGAAAGCCATATGAATGTGCCATGAACGACAACTGGGAAAGCCCAAAACGATTCTACAAGGATAATGTGTTGGAAGTAGTTGGGCAAATGACAACGAAGAACGACATTGGACTTCATGTGTCAGGCTTGGCTGGACCCAAAGACGTGCTTGAGTTTTTGATTTCACTGATAAAAGAAACGGCACCTTGGACTCTCCGGCTATATGAATAAAATACGTATGTATTTTTTTGGGCAAAATTTTGGCAAATTACAACTTAAAAAGTTCCGCCACTATATAATATTTTAATATATATTATTTGTATTCAATAATAAGTGATAATTGTGTATATAATACGTGAATTTTGTAAAAAAAAATGTGTATTAATACTACATGTGCAATACGAGTATTGTACATTTGCTTTACTATTTCTAAACTTGACAAAATTGGAAAAACCCAGTATAGCCGTCCGGCTATACTATTTCTTTTTAAAAAGATTAGATAAAACAGGTAGAGCCGTGCGGCTATACTACTTCTTTGTAAAAAACCGTACTGTAGCCGAGCGGCTATACCATATACTATTTAATAAAAACAAAAATGAAAAAAGGACCCCCTAGTTGCATTAGTTTATACTTTATATATATTAATTTGG